TAAGTTGTCTATTATTTATATATATATATATATATATATATATAATATTCTCAACTTCTATCATTTAATCAGTTTAAACAATTTATGAATTTAGTATCCCTTTTATGATCTTAGTATATTCGTATTAATCATATGTTGATCTACATTGGAACATTTAGATGATAAATTACATTTGTTTAAAGTTAAAAATAATTTGTCAACTTTTTTTTTGGAACATTTTTTTACAGTTGGAAAACATATAATGAAATGTCAATGTAAATTCCAAGAATCTCCTTAGACATTTGTTTAACTAATAAAGTTAAAAAAAAAAAACAGGTGGGATAATTAATAATAATATATGTATTTTAATCGTGTTTGATAATTTGCTTTTTCAGGAAATTATGAAGTTGCTTTGGCCCTTTAAAAGGGCAGTGAGTAGGTCGGTCTAATTATGCTGATTATAAACATAATCCCACTAATGGTATATAAATATATATATATAGTTTACTACATTTTTTTTACAAACAATAAAATACAAAGACGCACATATACATATACATATACATATACACACACACATATGTGTATATATATACATACACGTAGGGTGAGATATTATTATTGTGAATTAAAATATGATTAGCAATTAAGTAGATTTGTATGGTCGTCACATGGGTTTGCGTGAAATATTGCTTTTAACCATCTTTTTGTCTCTCCTACGAAATGAGCTACATGCCCAAGTGGTGTGTCTCTTTTAATTTTTTTTTCAAGTTTTTATTTTCTAAATTTGTTTATTATTTTAAAACTTCTAGATGGAAATTTTATTATAATAGATAAACCATATTTAGATGTTTAAATTTATTAAAATTTGATTTTAATTTGGACCAATAGAACAAACCTTTTAATTTGATAAAATAAAGTTTTATCATAATCTTCCACTCATTCAATTTATATTAAAGATTTGTATATATATATATATATATCACTTTAATCATACGAATTTTAATGTCCACCATTTTTATCTCATTTGAAATCCGAAAAATCATGTGTGAAACGTACCATTAGTTTCAGAAAACGAAAATATTGGGAAAACAAAATATACAATTCTAATTTCTAATATAGTTCATCAATAGTATTGTTCTTTTGGAAGGTAATAAATTACAATTATTTGTTTCTAATTTTTTGGTTTCTTTTTTCACCGAAATAAAATCAGAAATAGACAAATTATCAGATGATCCAAATTTGATCCGAACTCATATTGGAATAAATGTTGACTAAATCTAAAAAATTTGGGCACATGAGTAAGTCAAATTAGGTTCGTATAACAAAAAAATAATATGTAGAAATTGGGATTTAAATTCCAAATTTTTATTTTACGATATTCGCAAATTTCTGAATAAATCAATGTTGAGAGAAGGAAATCTAATCATGGGTGGAACCAACTCTCAAATAAATTTGTACCAAATAATTTGGAAGGGAGTGTAAAATGAAATGATTCACTATGAGCCGGACGAAGAAGTCAACGGAAAGTTGACCGATGACGACTGTCCACGTCAGCATCCAATTCTGTCTCCTCCCCCCACCCCGTGTTTAAATAGAACCGAGCCAGTTCGGTTCTTATTCACATACACACACTACACTACTAATCATTCACGCAACACAAACACACACACATATATATATACAGAAAGAATATTGCCATGTGTGGACACGTCAGCGCCGCCGTAGCATCCGAGAGGTGCCCATGCGTCGTCGGATGTTCCGGAGACGTCGTCTTTCCTCCGCCGCCGCAGGAACAGTTCCCCCCACTGCAACTTCTGCTGAACTACCACGAGCTGATGATCGACACCTCCACCGCCGAGTTCGATCTCACCGGTGAATCAGCGAAGTTTTACTGTTTTTCCGGCGGTTCAGTGAGCGGCTGCGACTCGCCGAGCTCGCTCGGGAGCGGCGGAGAAGGGAAGCAGAGTGCTGCGAGGCATACGAGTGTGAATAGCAACGATGGGTATCTCAGTAATTTCATATCGGCCCATGGGCCCACTTTTGATTCTGGGCCTATCAGACGGGCCCATAGCGCCGGAGACGTGCACGTGAGTCCCACTCTTTGTATATATTTGAAATAATAAAATAGAATAATAAATCTATTTTTCTAGACCGGGAATATAAAAACCATGTTCGGTATTTTAATATATATTTTTTGGGTAACCGGTTATATTGGACCAAAGTTCAGATTAATCTCAGAGTCGGGAGTAAATTATATGATTGAAATTATGTTTTTCATCCCAACTTGAGACTCGAATTCGGGATGGTATAGAGACGTTTTGCATCTGCGTTTCACCGGTTGAACTACTCAAATTGGATTTTAATATATTTTTTAATAAATAGATTCCATTAACAGTGAAAGCTAAGTCTAACCATAGAATATGTTTCAATATAGATGGATGGACCGTTTGATACATGATGATTAAATGGATACGCAGAGAGTGAATAAGAAGGGACAGCAGCAACAGGGGAGGAGAGGGGAGAGTGAGCTGTGGAGTGAGAGCAACGCAATCATACAGGGAATGAACAGAACGGCTAAGTACAGCCCCGAGGAGAAGAAGGAGAGGATTGAGAGGTACAGGAGCAAGAGGAATCTCAGGAATTTCAACAAGAGGATCAAGGTATAATGCATATATACAAATATATATATATATATATAATCCACATATACATATATATGCATGAGAATATATATATATATATATATATATATATATATATATATGAAAACATGAAACACTGACATGTTGAGGTTATATCAAACAGCAGCATGCACATATATATATATACACGTACATATATATATGAATTGAAAGGGAGATCAGGTCAAGGTCCATTAAAGAACGAAGTGGCATATGATAGAAGTATCCCACCAGTAAGGCTTGTAACGTCCATAGTCTAATCAAACATAATATATATATATATAAGTCACTTTCAGACACAAACCAAACCAGTTGCTTATCGTTCCTATTTCGGTCGAATATGGTCTCCTTGTGAAAATAATATATATATATATATATATATATATATATATATATATATATGTATAGTATATAAATAAAATCATTTGTAGCGTATCTAATGATTTAAATGCAATATAGATAAAAAGAAATTTCGAATCAAACTAAAACTTCACATAAAAATAAAAATAAAATGAATTAATTTTTTCCCAAATGCCCAGACTCGATATATTAATATTACAGACCCTAATTTTCTCTCAAACAAAACATTTATCAATTTTGGTCTCTGTGCTTGTGAGTGTGTAGTTGTTGGGTCACGTCCAACTTTTTAGAAATGGGTCATAGGAATCTTTTGAGATTGACAACTCAAAGCTCAAATGTGACTTTGGGTCCTTTTTCCAATTTTGCACTTTGGTCATACACACGCATATATATATATATATATATATATATATGTAACAGTCAGTTTTCATGTGGGTGTGATAAAGTCACCATCTTTATGACAAAATAATGAGAATGGAAACGTGGGTGCGAGGAGTATGAGTGCAGGAAGACACTGGCGGAGGGCAGGGCAAGAGTCAGGGGGAGGTTTGCGAGGAATTGCGACGAGACCGGAGACAAGATCGTCGATGTCTTCGTTCAAGATTCGGACACTTCTTCCGCCGCTTGGGCCTCTTTTCTTGATTCTTTCCTCTCCTGAGAAAATCGGTCTCCCTGTGTGTGTCGTTTGTTAACCCTCGTCGTTTCCATCTCACTACTCATATGCAAGTTTTCCTGTGATTTCTTTTGTAAATAAATAATAAAAGTATTGTTATTGTTATTATTATTATTAGGACATGCTATGTATTGAATTCATGTGAATTTTGGCCAATCGGCAACCTTTTGTACATAAATGATTACCCAAAAAATGGATTTTATTCTCTAACGATTAATGAATAGTATATATCTAGATAAAATAACCTAAAACTTAAAAAAAAGATATGAATTTATAAATAGAATTCGATATTAAATCAATCCCAACAAAATAAAGATTAATTTATATATTATGTTTTTGTTAATTTTTAAAATTATTTAAAATTTAATTTCTATTTCAATATTTCCGTCCTTCTCCTCTTCCCTCCCTCTTGGTATCAAACCAGAGAATTTAATCACATTAAAAAAAATAAAAATAAAACATAGAACCCAAAGAACCAAGAATCTTGTTTTTATCCATCTTATTTCTCTAACCATATATTTTCATTCAACCAGATCATTCCTAGCCAACCTCTAGTGAGTACATTATATTATATAATATAAAACTTTGTAAAAACACGAAGAAGAATATATATTTGAAAAGAGATATAAATTTATTATATAGTAATGTGTATTGTAAATTCAATTGATTTTTCTATATCTCCTCCTCATTATCTATATATATATACACAACATTCATATAACACATGGGGACAACGCCACGTGGCATCATCGAGAATGTACTCGGCGCCCGCTTACTGTCGTCGTCGTAGATTCCGGGTTAGTGCCACGTGTCGTCACAGGAGCTGGCGATGGGCAATTTGGTATCTAATTTTAAAATTGATCGTCAACTCTGTAGAAAATAGGAGACACTATCTCTGGAATCTACAGCGGGAGAGGTGGCGATAGGAGAAGCGAAGGCCAGCTCCGCCTTGAAATTGGACGGAATACCGCTGTATTCCGGGATGGGAATGACGGAGAGCGACGACGCCGTCGTGATACAGAAGGGGAAGAAGGCCGGAGAGCCGCACGTTATCACCGTCAATTGTCCGGATAAGACTGGTCTCGGCTGCGATATCTGCAGAATCATCCTTGATTTCGGCCTCTACATCACCAAAGGAGGTACGGATTTTCCCTGCTACGAGTTTTGTATTGGAAAAACTGAGATTTGTCGCCTATTGTAATGCAATTTCGCAGCATCGATCTATTTGGAGGTTTATTGGTGATTTGCCTTCCTTGTGATAGAGTTTGGAATAGATAACCAGCTTATGAGAACAAAGGTTTACTGGTAGAGAACTTGTGGAATTTTTTTTTTCTGGTTGTGTATTTGGTGAATGTGCAGATTGTTTGCCGTGCTCAATGTTTAGGGTTTTAGGTTTTCATTGGTGAATGATTCTAATCTGATCCTGTTTCTTTGTTTGTTTTCTGGGTGTAGATGTCACAACTGATGGACTTTGGTGTTACGTCGTGTTGTGGGTGGTTCCTCATTCCAATTCTCTCGTTATAAGATGGTCCAACTTGAAGAACCAACTTCTCTCTGTTTGCCCCTCGTGTTCAAGTTCCTTCTTGTTGAATTTGATGCCTCCTCGTCCCAGGTCAACACCTGTTTACTTGTTGAAGTTCTTCTGTCTTGATCGAAAGGGACTTCTACATGGTAATAATTACCTCTCCTCGTGAGTGATTGCTTGCTGACATTAGTCTTAAGCGTATGTTCATTCACTGATTTGAATATCTCTGAAAATTCTGGTGTTCAGATGTTACTCAAGTACTGTGTGAGCTTGAGCTCACAATTCAAACTGTTAAAGTGACAACAACACCAGATGGGAGAGTTCTGGACCTTTTCTTCATTACAGACAACAAGTGAGTTCTTATATGTATATATTGTCTTTACCTATCCATTGTCTTCTAAAGATTTGTGTCTAATGTAAGTTTGGTGATTTTGGCCAATCTTTGTCTGCTATCTCGCGTATGTTTCAGGGATCTTTTACAAACGAAAGGACGACAAGACGAGACACTAGAGCAGTTGCATTCAGTTTTAGGAGAATCATGTATCAGTTGTGAGCTCCAGTTGGCGGGTCCTGAGTACGAGTGTCATCAGAATATTCCATCCCTTTCTCCAACAGTGGCCGAAGAGTTGTTTAGGTCTGAACTATCTGATGAAGAAGCCCGTACACAGGCTCTTAGTCCTGATATGACGAAGCTGAAAAATTCTATTGTCACTGTTGACAACTCGTTAAGCCCAACTCACACATTGCTCCAAATATGCTGTGTTGATCACAAAGGCCTTCTCTATGACGTATTACGACCTCTAAAAGACCGTGACATTAAGGTATATAAACTTGATTTTCAGTTTTCTCTGCAGGATCAAAAGCTCAACTTTGTGTACTACCCTGCAGATATGTTATGGCCGTTTCTCGCCTCAATCTCAAGGCTACCGGGATCTTGACCTATTTATTCAGCTGATAGATGGGAAAAAGATTGTGGATCCCGACAAGCAGAGGATTCTATGTTCACGGCTGAGGGCTGAAATGCTTCACCCATTGCGTGTTACTATCACAAACCGAGGACCAGATACTGAACTTCTGGTTGCAAACCCGGTCGAGCTATCCGGTAAAGGCAGACCAAGAGTTTTCTATGATGTCACTCTTTCACTGAAAATGCTAGGAATCTGCATTTTCTCGGTAAGAAGCAAATCTAACCTACAAGATGCAACAAAATGTGTTACTTTTAATCAGCTACTCAGAGTATGAAACCGTGTGTTCTTGTTTCATCACAGGCTGAAATAGGAAGGTACTCGGCCTGTGACCGGGAATGGGAAGTGTACAGATTTCTTCTGGACGAGAATTGTCCCTTTCAGCTCAGTAATAATGGTGCTAGGAGTCAGGTTGTTGATAGAGTGAGAAGGATTTTAATGGGTTGGTGAATTACTTCTGGTCATCTTATACATATTTTTCTGAAGATCCCGAACCGAGTATATATATATATATGTATATATGGATGGCTTTGATCATAAGATCATGTTCAAGTTGATGTCCTGTTTCTGTTCAGTTTGCTGCGATTGCCTTAACACCATAGTTGGTGCCTTGGTTTGATTTTTTGTGAATGTTTGTTTGGGGGGTTTATTGATCGATAAGAAAATAACGGGTTCTTTTTTGAGTTGTATCTATAATGCGGGCAGGGTTCGGTAATTGTGGCGTGAAGAGTGGGTCGATAACTGATGATTTTTTTGGATAAGGGTTTTTTTGTTAACAAAAATGGATAATGGGTAGGGATGTAAACACCACGTGTCCAAAGTCAAAAGGACACGTGGCCTCTCTGGTGCCACGACGCCGTTTCGTATTCCTCCATCTTCTTCTCCTTCGTCTTCTTCACCTTTTTGACTCGATAACGCAGCAGAAGCAAAGCATTTATTTTCCTTTACTTTGGATCCATTAATTAATTGATTAATTTTTTATTGAAAAAATCAAAATTGATGAACGGATAAACGAGTTCGCGTATAATTGAAGGACCGATTTCTCTAGAGCGTTACAGTGAGATCAATCAATGGAGTTTCTGGTTCTGAATTAGGGTTTATTCAGAGAACGCATGCGTTGTTGAGTTTCAGGAGCTTGAGAAAAATGGAGAAAGCTCCTTCGACGTCGCGCAGCTATGCTTATATGGAAGCTCTATCGCAAGAGATAAAGAAGAAGCTTGCACGGGTTAGCTCTTCACTTTTCTTTTTCTTTTTCTACCTCTAGCGGTTCTTGGATTTTGCGTCTTTGCCTGAGATCGTGGAGTTTCCGATCATGTAATCTGTTCTGTTGGTGAGAAATTGCGACCAGTAACCGCGGCTGGATTGTCACGTGGGAAGTGCGTTGGAATTACGAGCGGGAGTTTTGAATTTTGTGCACGAAATCGTGGTTTTCGGTGATATTGTATGATTGAATGTTGGGAAAATGTTTGGGAAACCGGAAAGATGATGAATGAGTTTCGAGGATTCGGGATATTACCAATTAAGAACAGTTAATCGATGTTTTAATTGGAAATGCAATCGTCGTGTTCTGCATTAGATCAAAGCTCTGCAATCTGATTACTGGTAGTTTGGCCTTCTGTCCTTTCTCACCCCCTGTATCAAGAACTTTTTATGCTCTAGATGTTTTTGGGTGTCAATGATTGGATTCATGGATTTTCCCTTCTGGAATTGGAGTACATTGATTGATTTTGGATATCTGATTATTTTCTAGGCACTTGCTTCTTCAACACAGAGACGCAAATTGTTGCAGGATCTATTTGCTGACATAGCTCTAGAAGTCGATGAACGTGCCAAAGGTAAACTTTTGGTCTCATATTGATTTAAGTTTAACAGGAGCCTGATATTATTTAGTGTGTGTGTTCAGTTATTTAGCGTTTTAGTTACGATGTCGGTTAATGGTCAAGAAAATAATGTGAATTTAGTAGCGGCACTCAACATAAGGATAGTTCTAGTGGTTGATAAAGTTATGGGGACTGAGCTTTAAAATTTACTTCAACCAGAGCTTACCTGTAAGTTTCCAGTTGAATGACTATCATTATGATGAGTTTTTTTAACCAATGACACTAAGTTAGTGCTTGAACTGGAAGCAGATGCTATCCTTTGCAGGGGCGAGGATGGAATATCTTCTGTTGAGGCAGATGCTGATGGCCCATTATGTTTCTTCGATGTCCTTGCTGATTACTATGTGAAGGTGCCCGAAAGTGGAAAAGATATACTCGAGTCGATGTTGCAGCTTTGGAGCCAGTCGTTTGCATCGCACATTTTCTATCTGCTGTTCCATAAATGGGTATTACAATCTTTCAGTAACTATCTGAAATATGCTTGCAGTCCCAAAATCTCCCTTGCCTTGTCTGCACTCCTCAGTCTTTTGCCTCCTACATTTTACTTGTTGGATTTTCTTTTTTATCATGGTTTTGGTGAGTCGCCCCTCTAATGTTCTATATTTTTCTCCAGTTGTTTGAGGTTCAGCTCGACAATCAAGAAATACTCCTGCGCTATTCTTCTGCTCTTGTCCAGGGAGCAGCAAGTGTATTCTGGTAAATTCCTTGGACTTCAGAGTATTAGATGATAAAACTTAATATGCTTTCATCTAGTTTGGATTGTATGGCTGAGTTTTAGATTCGCACAAGCACCAGGTCTTTATGTTAGGGGCATGACCTAGTTTGGCAAATGATTTGTGGGGAACTGTTGTTATGGTCTTTACAAGTCTTTCTTGGGTCAATTGACGTGCTCCGGATTGTGAGGGTAACATGTATTTACCTCAATTCATTTTCAATCACAGGATTGACATCCAGACAAATGCATGGCGTTTCCAAACTCTCTTTCGGGTAACTCTTTTTCTAAGAAATGCCATTTTCTTTAGCTTTCTTTTTCTGGATCCTTATGTTTTTGGTAACTCTTAAGTTGTTGCTCGTTTCCCATGAAATATAACAAAGTTGGTAACAATGCTGCACAAACCTATATACTTTTCCTTCACTGTGTGAATGTAAAATAACTGCATGCAATGTTCACAACTGTGTGATTGTGATAGTACATATCATAAGCTGTTTTATGTCTCTGCCTTGTGCTATGCCTGCTTGGATATAGGCAAGAAGTTTTGTATTTCGTCCTTCTGTTGGATTTCCACCAACGTATGTTCTACATCATCACATAAAATTTTCATCCGACTAACATGTTCCTCTTGAGTTCTGGCAGTATCTCCTTGAGAAAGTTGCTTTGGAGCCTTCCCGACTCAACAAAATTCCCATTCAGGTGAGCAGTTCTTTTGCATCGTCTGAATCTTCTGCTACTATCACCGAGTGTTGGAAGTTAACTCTGGCATGGTTAATTTCAGGCTCAGAGGGATCTGTATTTCTTGCTCTCAAGGTTCATTTTATTTTACAATTCAGGTGGTCAACTGTTCTTAAAACATCTTGGAGCCGAAAAGTTCTCGTTCCCTGACAGTTTCAATTTGCAGTTGACAAACTTGAGAGTTTCTTGGGGCACTTTCCTGAGTTTCCAAATACTTTCTTGGTTGGAGGGCCAGCAGATTTTTTTGTTATCGAACTCGCTGACCAGGTATAAAGGCAACTGAGATATGGTTGTTTTATCTCTAGAAAGAATATGACAGTTATCTTTTTATTATTACACATATACTGTGGTTCTTCTTCTGGGCAGCTGCAAAAGTTAAAGGTGGAGCCGGTGCTGCTACATTATCTCTCTCAGATGAAGGTTCTTCGTGGTATATTTACCTGAATTTCATGACAGGAATATGATTTGTTGACTCAAAACATAAACATATTGTAAAATCTGCAGGTATGGAACTGAGATTGACGACAAGTACGAGGTTGAAAACATGTTTGTACAGCTTTGCCTCCCCTGGAGGTCCGATGTACCCCACGAGAGCTGTTCGTCATGCAGCATGGGCTACATTGGATTCTCTTTATCCTGTGAGTGTGTTCTTATTAAAAAAGCATCTTTGGCCACACACACACACACACACAGATAGATATGCCTTTGAAGTTCACCTAAATTCCATCTTACAGTATTATCCATGTCGCCTACAGTTGGTCTCTGTCCTCTGTCTAGCATTTGCTGATGCGTCCTTTCTTTTAGTAGGTTGGGCAAAAGAAACATGAACATCGGGTACCTAACATTATATATTATATATAAAGATGACATAGAAAGGCAATGTGAGCTAAGGAAAATCCAATTATCGGATCCAAGTACACTTCTGATATGTGTTTCAAAAAACATCGGAATTTTGTAGTTAAACTTGGATACGGTAACTGATGGATATCCAAAATTATCTTGGTACCCCGTTATTTGGGCACCCGACCAAAAGGGATCTAAGTAATTCTCGTGAGACTTGAGACATTCGGATTCAGGTAAACCCAAAACCTTGGGTACCCGATCTGTGCTCAGGCGCTCTCTGTCTTTCGGTATGTTTATATATGAGGGATAAAATATAGTAACGAGCGGATGTGGCAGGTGGGGCGACACCCGAGGCATGTGATAAGCCTGTTTTTCCGGTTGTTGTACCCTTGGTGCTGGCCTTCCTCGTGCTGGAACTTTGTTGTTTCCAGCATTAAGTCGGTGTTTCATTCGCTTTTCCATGTTATATTTCCGCGGTCGGAAGAAGCCAAGTCAGTGCTGAACTAATCATACTACTACTTTGTGTTCTTCCGTTGCAACTTGCAAGACCTTTGAATGCCAAAATGTATATATCCTTCTCAGCTATGTGGGAATATCTTTCCAAGTTTTTGTTATTTTCTTTAGAGGATGTACTTTTTTTCTTTTATCTATATTATGACCAAAACAATGAGGCATCATTTTTTTTTCCTGTGCTTGTTACTATATATGTGTATATATATATATATTAGAACATACCCAAGTGACAGAGATGCAGTGGCTAACCACCATTGCTGTTCATATCCATAAATTTTTTTTGTATAGAGTGATGAATATCTTTTAGGGTTTAGTGGTTTGTCTTCTTCATCATCCACTCTTCTCTCCTTGGTTTTCTTTTCTTGTTTTGAAGATCTCTCTATTGGATCTTGAGATTGGTCTGCCCCTTAATCTGTAAAAAGGAATGTATTTGCAATCGAATACGATCTGCTCAACCTCTTTTATACAATTTGTTTAGTTTGAAATTAACATCCCAACTATATTTCGTGAATCGATTACAATTTCGACTCATCTCCTACAATTGTTCAAATCCCTCTTCCTCAAAAAATAAGGGACTGAAAGAATAACAACTTCGATATACGCCGATGGAATTCTACGCTACGCTGGATGATCATGGCGACTTCGGCTGAAGAAGAAAGGGTGTGGCTGATGAAGAAACGGGTGTGCCAGCAAAGCATCTGTGGTCCATCTCAGATCAGGATCTCGGACCAAACACTTCTCCAAGAAATCTCTGGCCTTGTCCGAAACCGATTCCGGTATGACCGGGATTTCGTCCGAATTGGCGATCATACGCATCAACTCGTCCCGGTTTATACGGGCATTCTCTTCTCCCCACGCGTGCGAACCGGTTAGCATCTCCAAGACCGTGCAGCCGAATGCCCAAACATCAGCTCCGTAGTCCAAATCTCCTCCCGTCACCAGCTCCGGCGACATGTACATGGCGGTGCCTCTCGGGTAACCGTTGTCTTCGTCATACTCCACCGTGTCTTTCTCCACGGCTAACCCGAAATCGGCGATCTTGGCGACGAACCAGTCCCGTCTGATCCACTCTACTTGCGGAACAAGCAAGATGTTGGCCGGTTTGATATCGCAGTGGATGATCCGACGGCAGTGGATGTCGTTCAGACCCCTGAGTATATCTGTGGCTAAAAGCTTGACGTGGCTCTCTCTGATACCTTCAGGTTGGGTTCTGATTAAATCTTTGAGGCTCCGACCAGAACAGAACTCGAGCATGATGTTGTAATGTTTCTCGCCTGTTTCGGAATCGGTCGTGATCTCGTCGCCGAGGAAGGAGACGACGAAGGGAGAGCAAAGTAAGCTCAGAATGCGTGACTCGTCCATGAGTGTCGAAGCGCGTGACATCTCCGCCGTTTTCACGGCCATCTTGTTGCCGTTATCTCTGACGGCGAGGTAAACGGAGCCGAAACTGCCTTGTCCGAGGAACTGGGAGCGTACCCACGAAGCGCCGTCGTCGGAGTTTCTGGGCTTCGTCGGTCGGTTCTTCGCCGTCTTCTTGGTCTTGGTGGGGCCCATGAAGTAGCGCCTGCGTTCCATCATGGCCTTCCACTTGGCGTCGCGTTCGATTTTCTTCTTCTTGGTGGGGCCCATGAAGTGGCGTCTGCGCTCCATCATGGCCATCCACTTGGCGTCGTGTTTGATTTTCTTCGGGGGATCGAGAGATCCCAAGCTACCAGACGGGGAATCAAGCGTTGACGAAGATGGCGATTTCTTCATCCTTCTTCTCCTCCGCTCTCTCAGTTAGGGTTTTTGGCGTGAAGAGAATAGATTTGTTTCACCTCTCAGATGTATATGTATATATATATATACTTTGTGGTTTGTCACTCGAGGTTTTTCCGTCATTTAGGAGTTCTTCAGATAAAAATTCTTACATTTTCCTTTTCCTTTTTAAAAAAAATGATTTAAACATTTTTTTAAAACTATGATTTAGACATTCCTTTTCTCTTCGATGAAAAAAGGAAACAAAAATAGTTACACCCGATTAATATAATAATAACTAAATAGGCGATGATTAAATATTCAGAAATTATATCGACTCATTCATAATTTTAGTAGTAAAGATCATACCAAAAAATTAGTAGTAAAGATTTGTATCGAATTCGATCGTTTTACTGATATTAATTATAGGTTTATATATGCATACAAAAAAATAGATTCGTAATTTTCAGATTTTTTTTACTACGTACATATGTATAAGATTTTTTTTTTAAAATCCCCGTAAATATTAATAACATATTCATAAGATATTGATTCCTGCACCTATTATATCTTTTATTAATAATCTGCACAAGATTACGATAATGTGATATAACCTATAATTTTTATGGATAATACACATTTACATATCAATTCTCCTTTTTTTGTACTTTTTCCCTAGATTTGTTTTTTCACATTTTTTACAATTGGTGGTTTTAACGGGTTTTCTCTAATAACATAATCTTTATTATATTCTATTTTTTTCTGCGAACATGTTACGTTTTATCTATTGTAGTCTTCGTTCCGAAAGTAACACTTTTCATTTTTTTTTTACAATTCATACATTTCCGTCGTTTTTTAGGTACTGTTTTTCTTCATATCTAACGTAAGAATAACAAAGCGACAATTAATGTTGAAAACAAAGGTTAAACACTCTATTTTTTTTTTTTTTATAACAAAATCCTTGAAAACGTAAACTTTCTATTTCTCTCCGAGCTTTATTACTTTGTCTGACCACTGCAGGGGTTTAGTATTGACAGGTTCAAAAAAAAAAATTATTAAAACCCCCAAAATTTGACATATGCAGAGACCCAGTGGAGAGGTGGGCTAAAATTTTTAAAATCTGCCAAAAGGACTCCTAATTTTGGACCCCAATGGAGGAAGAAGACTGTTATTAGATACTCACCCTACAAACCTGACAATAAGACAGTAATCAGGACCAAGCATCGAGAGATCAGACCTTGACATCCTATAATTCATTCACAGTTCATTGCTCTACCATTTTATTAACTGCGACCAAAAAAATATCATATATATATATATATGTGTGTGTGTGTGTGTATACACAGAGTACAAAATGGACAATTGGTCATCGGTATTTCATGTATGCAAAAAAAACGCCAGAGAACCACCAAAAGGGCACAAAACCTAATAACAAACATAGATCTTTTAGTCCTATAAACCCACAAAATAACAATACTTAATCCGCTAAAAAGCATGTCTACAATCAATCAGGCAGTTATCGTGATGTTGGATCACATATACCTAATAGAAGGGTCGGATATCGTAAGAAAAAAAATGTGAACTTTGTGATCGCCTAAGACCAAATCAGCATACCAACCAAAAGACAGCAAGACTACAAAAGGAAGGCAAGAAGAAGACAGTACAACGTTAACAGTAATATAACAATTCAACATGGGATATAACGGGCTCACCTCATCTCCACGGCCTAAAGGCTACATTCCCAGTGACTGATTAGTGCCTATCACCTCTCTCTGATTTGAAACCTGAGAAGAGTTACAAACAACAAAAAATACGAATCAGATAACCTTAACACAAAGGAATAAGGGCCAAGCAGAGGCCAAACCTCGACATCAGGATCCATGATAAGTGCTCTACCACCTAGCTGCAACCACTCAGTTAAAATAAGACAACCTAAATATCATATACATGGACAAAAGGCAAATTGATCATCAGATACTGATCCTAATGTGTATAAAAAACAATAGAGAACAAAAGATTTCAACACAAAAGAGAGAATATGATGAAGAACAATACGATAAAGGTTCTCTGATCTTAATGAGAAAATCACATTCTTCACAATAAATCGGAGAAATTTTGAAGAAAAGAAACAATACGGTAAAGGAATTAGGGCAGAGTAGAGAGTGAGAGACCAAACTGTGACGTGACATCTTGATCCATTGTTAAGTGTTCTACCACCTCGCTGCAACCATTCACTCCTAATGTAACAACCTAAATATCATGTACACGGACAAAGGGAACCAGCAACTAAGACAATCGAACAACTACAGATTCTAACAGCCATGAAACCACGAAGCAAATGATCAAGAAAACTGAGAATTGCATCAGGGTTACCAAGAAAATACATCCCATACTCACACAAAGCTCCTGCTAAATCATACAGAGCAACAAATCCTGAAAAATTTAAGAGGATCACTAACAAAGAAAATATCAATCCTAGTATACGGACCAAAAACAAATGCCACATTAACGAGGGCATAACATTTCAAACAATCAGAAGGTTCAAAGGAAACCAAGCACAACTGCAACTATAATACACCACGTGATCTTTAGATAGATTTAACAAGATTGCCAAAAATAGCCATCAATTCTTGCATACGCAAATCTTATGTAGAGAGGCCTACTTTTCAAAAGTGCAAAAGGACTCCTAAATCTGGAAAATTGGAGGAAGAAGACGACTACTAGATACTCACCTCTGTCTGATTCAAAACCTGAGAAGATTTACAAACGAAAAAAATACGAATCAGAGAACCTTAAGGCAAAGGATTAATAGCCAAGCAGAGACCATACCTCGACATCAGGAACCATGGTTATTTGCTCTATCACCTAGCTGCAACCACTCGGTCAAAATAAGACAACCTAAATATCATATACATGGCCAAAAGGCAAATTGATCATCAGATACTGATCCTAATGTGTATAAAAAACGACAGAGAACTAAAGATGTCAACACAAAAGAGAAATCAATAGTAGTGTACTGAACTGTAAACAGAATGACAGACATTTTGACAAAGGATCCATTGGAGAGCTCACATAATCAACAGAGAAGAGAGAATTGAACCTCAGCTTACATAACGACAGGAGTAATTACAGCACAAAAAACTGGGAAACAAAAACTAACATAGAAATTTAACAAACGATCTCTAACTGTTATCCAGTTCTCCAAACTTTCAAAATCCAATGTAGCAGCCGGATTTAGAAAACCCTAGTTAACAGTTCAGGAGCTAGTAAATTTGGTTACGGCCTTCGTCCCTTCAGAAACAGCATGTTTCGCCAGTTCACCAGGAAGAACAAGTCTGACGGCGGTCTGAATCTCGCGGGATGTGATTGTAGGTTTCTTATTGTACCTCGCGAGCTTCGAAGCTTCCTGAGCGAGTTTCTCGAAGATATCGTTGATGAAGCTGTTCATGATCCCCATAGCCTTGCTTGAGATTCCGATGTCGGGATGAACCTGCTTCAAGACCTTGAAGATGTAGATCTTGTAGGTCTCGACACTCTTCTTCTTCATTTTCTTCTTCCTATCGCCGCCTGCACCGGCCTCCTTTGGAAGCTTTTTCCCAGCCTTCGGCTTCTTCTCTGCCGGAGCTTTCTCGGCCTTTGGCTTCTCCTCCGCCGGTTTCTTCTCAGCGGGTTTCTTCTCGGCGGGTTTCTTCTCTGCCTTCGGCGCCATGGATATTTTCTCTCTCTCGACTTGTTTCGGTTAACAAAATCAAGACCTAAAAAGTTTCCAAAGGAATGAGTACTCACATCACCGGTGTTCTGATTTTATATATTCCCAAGATTTGATATAATTGGATAATGCTGAGAGACAAGGATCGATGACGTGTCATTTCTCACCGTTAGTCCCCGATTAGAGATCGACGGTCGATAAGTAATCATAAGGGTGACAAACAAAGTATACACGTGGCTCATTCCTAATGGTCGAAAGCGCGTGAATAATTCCCATTCCCGCTCCCACCATTTTAAACAAGGTCCATATTATAATGGACAGCCTGGATTGGAAAACCTGAAGCCCAATACTAATAACGCTTTGGACATCTCTGAATGGTCTTTTGTTCAAGAACGTGACGTTTCTTTTTTTTTTTCCCTCTAAACTCACTCCGTATATTCACGAATTTTTTTTTCGAATGATTCACTCGTAAAATCCTTTGCATCCATTCCCAAAACCCACCCTTTTGAATTCGGTTACAGTTATATCTTATTCGATTTCGATCAAGAGATATTCAGTTATGAACCAAATCGAACAACAGCTTGTTTCGTACGTTGTCCGAAACTTGGACCGTGACAGCAAGAACTGGACAAGCACTAATACGATCTATACGGAGGAAGATAATGTACCAAAACATTCATCATTGGTAGTTTGAAAAGGAAAACACAAGGCAAAGGTTCACTCCTTTTCATTGTTTTGGTTAGCGAAACACGAAAAAGGCAAACGACGCAACGCTGTAACGAACGAAAACATTTGGAGACAATACCGATAGAATGAAGTTCGTTAGGTTCATACCGTCACCAGGAAACTGTAAAGATATTTCATGCCAGGAATAGTAGAGTAGAATATCGGGTGGGGGGGGGGAAGAAACTTATTCAAGCGGAGGATCATTCGGGTTTTCAGTTGACACGGCTTTTGAAGACATCGAGACCCATCTCGGTCGGGTCAGTGGCTTGAAGCTCTACTTGAATTCCGTCGAGCTCCCTCTTGAATCTGTCCTTTGAGCTTGCATATATCATCTTGCTTCTCACCCTTGCCGTATCCGGAGACCTTGTAAAATTTGTACAATTTCAATCACTATCAAAGATTGTGGACGTTTTTTCACAGCAGGGTTTTAGCAAAGACAGTGTTAAATACCATGCGATGAAGAAAATCTTGCTCTTCTGGCAGTTTTCTGCTGTGACAAAGTCAAAATCGAAAATGGCGTATCGGCATTCATTTGCAGGGAGGCTAGCTGTGAAATCCTCGTAGGTTTGGGCTGGTTCCCCGACTTTCTCTACAATCACTTGTTTCTGCTGCTCCTCAATCTTGTAAACTATGAAACGGTATGTCCGTTTCGCCTTCAGTTCCAAAAACCTCAGTTTGCAATCATCATGCACAGCCATTCCCGACGCTGCGTTTGCCTGAAAGGAAAAGATCAAGCAAAGAGCAGATGTTACACAGATGTGTATACATAGAAGAAGAACACTAAGATGCCATCTCTCTCGAAAGACTTCCACCCACATTCAAGATTTTGTGAATTCAACAACAATTTTCAAACCATGGATCACACATTTGGGGAAAAATGGCATTTCAGATCTTAACCGATAATCTCAACAGATCGACTGGATATAAATATCTCGAACAACTTGGAGAAGCAAACAGAACAATGTTGAACCCGACAGATATGGAACAGCACAGATTGGTCACAAGGAAGTCGTATGGTCAGCATTCAAACAACAGCAATACAAAATCCAACAGAACAGAGATGTTAGAATGCATCTGAGAACTGAGAAATCTCAGATTTCGACCAACAAGGAGCCGATGGATCAAATAACTAAACTGCACTGAGACACTGTTCACGTATTAGTGGGAAATCACATGAGATTTCTGGATTAATTAACGCAAAGCACAACAAACCTCGACGTCTCTACAGATTTCGATCGTAGATCAGTTCCACCGATCACACACACACAAAACCCCAAATTTCTAAGCAAAAGCCAAATCCATCTCCAGATCCAACGAAGAAAACAACGAGCTAAAATCGAAATCCGAACAATCGAGATCCATACAAAGCAGAATCGAATGTAACTCAAAATCGTGAGAGTACACTTCAAATCGAATAACTGGAAACAGAGAAGACGAGAGAGAGAGAGAGAGAGAGAGAGAGAGAGAGAGAGAGAGAGATCACCATGGCTGAACCAAACTAGTTCGTGAGAAATTTCTTGCTGAGACGAAGAAGAAGATATTTCTTCGGGCAGCGAATATCGACGGAGAATATGGAGAATCTTTTTCTTCTCGGTTTCTTTTCTCCTTCTTTCTTAAGCTTAACTTGGAAGATATAGTCAGAATATATACATACATATATATATGTATGTATATGTTGGAACTTATTTCATATTATTTCTGTTCATACAAACTCTTTAATTTAAAATTTAATTGAGTGAGATCTGCAATAATGATAAAAAAGTTATTTAAATAATATATGAATTTCTAATATATAATTTAAGCTCCAATTTGGACATATATCAAAGTTGATAGATGTTTGAAATTTCTTACCATCATTATTGGTTCCTACATGAAATAATTTTTAATTTATCTGTTGAATATTTGCATGCTAACTGTTTGAAAACAAGTTTCACCACTTAATATATGAAAAATATTTCATAGATTTTTTTTTTTGGAAATTAGTTTATTCCCATTTTAGCACACAACCATCTAGTTAGATCGCCAACGCAAATTGACAAATTACATTTTAAATAAATACATAATTACTAATTAGGATGTGATTTTTACATAACAAACGATTAAAAAAAAAGGAAATTCAAATGAAAGGTGGCTCTCTCGCCTTTTCAGCTCTACAATCATCATTATAGCGGTGATGGGAGCCAGCGGAGAGGAGCTGTGATCATCGAATCAAAGAAAGACACGTGGCATATCGGTATCCTTCCTTCGCCTCATCCACGTGGCAAAAAATTGAAGCCCAATGACAAGATGAAAAGGCCATAACTGGCCCAAATATAAAATATTAATAGGCCCATTGTTTAATTATTATTATTATTATTAATTGCAATACCAATTTGATGGTCGACCAAGTGATCTTCCTTCGGTGAAATGTCGGCGGCTACAGGTGTTTCTCGTATTGTACGAGCAACACCATTCCGAATGGTTTCTGTCCGTGGATCTTGCTCCAAGTTATTTCTCGGAGGTTCTCTCTCTCATCCCAATTTGTACATGGGCTTTCGATTTCCATGAACATACCAAATAAAGCTTTGTAGCCAGAGGATGAGGAAAATGCCTTCAAAGTGTTCGATCGAATGCTCAACAGAAGGATGATAACTTGTTGGGATTTTCGCAGGGCTTTGTTATGACACGAACGAACCCGTCCTCAAGGATGCATTTCAGAAGTACGGAGAAGTCATTGAAGGTAAGAAAAGATCTCACACGATCTCTGAAATCTCTTGCAGATCAAATCTTTTGGCGGCTGTGTGAGTGGTAATTGAAAGTGCAGTTAAAGTGATATGCGATCATGTGAGCGGGAAATCAAAAGGTTACGGCTTTGTACGATTCCATTCAGAAGAAGCGGCCGCCAAAGCCCTTGCATCCATGAACAATCAGGTTCTGTCTGAAAAATCCTGACTGAAACACTATCAATGCTTTGATTATTATGCTGACGGACCCTTTTGCTTTTCCTTTCTTTTGATAGCTACTCGACGGTAGAAACATCCGCTTAGAATATGCACGCAAAGGATGATCATTTTGTCTGCTCAAAGATGAAACCAGTAAGGTAATGAAATCCAAAAACAGGGCATAGCATTGTCTCTCAGATCCTATACATTGTACGCAACTCAACTACTTTGATCCAATCTATGTGGAAGTTTAGGAACAGAATGTGATCTTATCTGTGCCTGAATTACTTGCCACCCTCTACTTTGCCATCCTTGATAGAATCTGATCCGGGGCCTCCACTCTTTGCTGCTTCAACGAAAATTAATCGGCTATCGACAATCTGGGAAGAAAAGAAAAGGATCAGAGACAGATATAGTTCATGTTTAAAGGAGCTCAAAACTGCCATGGACACCGTTTGCTTTTTCTCATGCATATGATGTGATTACTGTCACACCCTCTTACTCTTAACAGAAATTATGTCTGATCCACTAAAACATATCTCTAGTTTTGTTGTTTGTCACATAAGAGCGTAGTAAACAATCTACAAAGTTACTTCGAAGTCTATAGCCGTGAATCATCACAGAATCATCAACGAGAATACTGCAAGAGAAACTCAACCTAAGAGACAAGGAAAATGGTTCATCTGCAGGAACCCATATCAGCTACAACCTACTTAAGAATCATAACTGACCCTGGTTCGAATTCGATGAAGATAAATACCAATATCACAACCCAAGATTGAATACTCATTCACGAACACAATACTGTAACACAGGCAGAAGACTAGACAGATGGTAGGATTGATGGAGTTTACACTGCCATTCAAGGCTTTCAATGCCTTTTGTGCATCATTCTCCGACTCAAACGCCACAAAGCCGAATCCTTTCGGCCTCCCCGTTTGTGGGTCCCTAACAAGACGAGCTACAACACGCAGATATTCAATACAAATTCAGAGAAACCCAAATCAAAGAATCGACAGCGACAGATAAACAAGTTGAAAGGCGTCGACCTTACCATCTTTTACAGCACCGAAACGTGAAAACAGCTGCTTCAGCGATCTCTCTGTGGTGTAAAAAGACAGTCCTGCAAGAAACCGAGCAAAGAGAAATCTGAGGAACCATGAATCTGAGGGGAAAAAAACTCAAACTGGAAACGAGAAAAAGATCATCTTACTGCTAACGAAGAGCTCAGTTGCGAGCCTCTTTGCCATCAAATGCAACACGGAACAGCAGGAGACTGAGTCGAAAAACCTAGAAATGAGAGCATCATTTTATACCCAAAAAACGACGACGTATCTAAACCCGACCAGAAATATCTGAAAATCGGGCTGTTTTCATAAGGAAGTTTCATAGATACATCGAAGTTGGAGACGTGAAATACATGAGAAATTTCGGGATTCGATTTTCAAAAACAAGTACCCGGATCGCCCTAAACCTAGCTTACTACACAGCAACATCACCATATATCGACTGAAACCAGACGGGTACAATTCACGAGCTGGTGAATTTCGTCACGGCCTTGGTCCCCTCAGAAACAGCATGTTTCGCCAGCTCTCCGGGAAGAACAAGCCTGACGGCTGTCTGAATCTCGCGGGAAGTAATCGTGGGCTTCTTGTTGTACCTCGCGAGCCTTGAAGCCTCCTGAGCGAGCTTCTCGAAGATGTCGTTGATGAAGCTGTTCATTATTCCCATGGCCTTGCTCGAGATTCCGATGTCTGGATGGACCTGCTTCAGCACCTTGAAGATGTAGATCTTGTACGTCTCCGTGCTCTTCTTTTTCATCTTCCTCTTCTTTTCGCCGCTGGCTACGGCCTCCTTCGGCAGCTTCTTCCCAGCCTTCGGCTTCTTCTCCGCCGGAGATTTCTCGGCCTTCTTCTCCTCCGCCGGTTTCTTCTCCGCCGGCTTCTTCTCCGCCTTTGGAGCCATTGTTGTCAGACTAGAAAATCACGATTTCAAAGACTGAGAAAAGGAAATACACTTGAACGTCGACTTATACGCTCCCCACCTTAACTGATATATATATATGATAACGAATCAGATATCCATTGGCTGTGTGGCTTTTCACGCGGATAGATGACGTGGAAGTTTTAAACCTGTTGATTTATATATTATCGACGGTTGAAATGTATGAAGAGGCCCAGTAACGACGGCCCATAATAGTACCAAAATACGTATATTGCCTTTAGGCCCAAATATGCTTCGGCCTAGCACCTTTCGAGCCCAACTATATTTAGGCCCAATTATACGATATTTGATATCATATAATTTCAAAATGGGCCGATGAAAGCAAAACCCTAATTGGCGCAAGACTTCTACTGCTTCCTCAACTTTGCTAGGAGGTGAGCCAGAGAGACGCTGGAGCGGCAGCTTCTTCGGTTCCAGGTTAGAAAATCCAGAGAAACCTTGATTTATTTTCGAATTCTATGTTATTCTACTCTGTTTATGTTCGAATATGATATGAATCTGCGCGGAGATTGCTGTTTCTCTAGGAAAAGTCGCTGTTTAGGAGGTTGTGTTTGTTTTTTGTTATGGGTTTTTATGTTGTCTGTGATATCGGTTTTGATTGTCATGATCGGAAATAGCAAGACAATTTACAAAAATAGTAATCCATGATGGAAACCTTTGTATTATTGTTATGATTTTGATTGTTTCTTAGCGTTGATTGTTTGCGGATTCAGTGAATCGTTTCAATGCCGATGCCAACATATGAAGCTCATCGAAATGTATAAACTCTTGCTTTTCTGTATTTGTATGGCATCGTATACATCTTCGATAGACGTTAATGTGCTTTTTATCCGTATTTTACTCAAAGAACTTGGTACATTATATGGTTTGACTGGGTTTGTTTTGTCTTTTGGTTAAGTATAGTTATATACATACTCTAGAGAGATGTAATTATTAATGGTCGCGTTATAAATCTGTGTTCTTTTTCCAAGTTCCAATGGGAATGGATTTGTTGTTTATCGGTTTCAGTTTTCATTTTCTTTCAGGATGGTGAGAATCAGTGTACTGAATGATGCTCTTAAGAGCATGTACAATGCGGAGAAGAGGGGGAAGAGACAAGTCATGATAAGGCCTTCTTCTAAAGTGATCGTCAAGTTTCTTCTTGTCATGCAAAAGCACGGTAATGTTATACGTTCTATCTATCTGTTTCCATTTTCTTTTGTTTTTTTTCTCCCTGGGTAATTTCAAGTCCGATAATGATCATGACGATGCTTGTTCTATTCTCGGTCCTCTGGCTTTGTGATTGTTTGCAGGCTACATCGGCGAGTTTGAGTATGTTGATGATCACAGGGCCGGTAAGATTGTCGTTGAACTAAATGGAAGGCTAAACAAGTGTGGAGTCATCAGTCCTCGATTTGATGTCGGTGTGAAGGAGATTGAAGGTTGGACCGCTCGTCTCCTTCCTTCCCGGCAGGTTAGCCTCGAAAGTAACTCTTGACTTTTACGTCAGTCATCTTTTGTGTGATCACTGCCAACTGGAATCATCCATAGATTCTCAATTAAGTTTCAAACTAGCATATGGTTATTAATTACCATTATCTTGTAGAATGACAAGTGTAGATTGATATTCACTCTGTCCTACTATACATGCACACATAAGGGTTGAACGAAACTCGGGTTACATTGTTGATTGCATAGTAACGATATTGAATGAATGTAAATGCATGTTCATATACATACAGTATGGTTTTGTTGAAATAAACTAGGGTTATGTTGTTGATTGCATGGTAACGGTGTTGAAATGAATGTATACGCAGTTTGGTTACATCGTTCTGACAACCTCGGCGGGCATAATGGACCACGAAGAAGCGAGGAGAAAGAACGTCGGAGGGAAGGTCCTCGGGTTCTTCTACTGAAAAAGCCGATACTCTGTCTGCTCGTTGTATTCTTCTTATCCCTTTTTTTTTCGCAGGGAGGGTTTGGTTGAAGCCTCACTCTCGGAAAGTAATGCCATTTTGTTTGTTTTTGAATGATTGATTATTACCATTTTTCAATTTAGACAGACAATTTCAATTCAGTGATCCATCTCCGTTTTTATCTTTTATTCAGTTTGAGTGTGTTATTGAGAAATGGTAACTGCAGAAACTCCTCCGAAGTCATGTAATATATTTACCTATTCTAGTATCTATGTGACAACATGTTTGACTATAGCAACGTAGCTTAGTAATATTCATATGTTAAAAACATAGCCTAGTTTTATTGGACACAGAGGATTTGTTTTATTATTGTTTTGATTGGGTAATATTTAATATACTTAGTTACTTCGATGTTGATAATTTATTAGGGGTGTCAAAACGATCCGAGCCAAATGAGCCGAGCTGGCTCGTTTGACACCCTATAATTTATCTTAGTATTTATTATTTATTATAATTATACTTTGGTTTGTGCTACGACGATTTTGATGCCAGGTCATCTCCCCAAATGATCCGCCCCCGACCATTTGTCCCATTTACCCAATAAGAGCTCTCCACGTGTCATGCCTTCGTTGGTCCATCTAACGGCTTTTGGATTTAACGGCCCATAAGGCTTTCTTCTTCTGGGCCCTGCTCTATTAGACTCTCTCTCTCTCTCTCTCTCTCTCTCTCTCTCTCTCTCTTTCTAACGTGCGCCGAAGGTGATTTCATGCACGCGGAGTGAACAGGCAGATGAGCAGAAGGAAACAGAGAGGGAGCTAAAATAGGGAGTGGCGCATTTTAGCCATCCAACGTATCCTTCGCCCCCGCGCTTCGATTACCACGGCTCTTCTCTGCTTCGTTTGATCCGGTACGTGTTCTTCGTGATCTTCACCATTCGTGGTGGTTTCCTTCGTTTTGATCTATTTCGTTTCTATGAACAAAAATTATTTGGTTTGAACTCTGATTTCTCCTTTTAGATTCCATGGCTGCTCCTCCTGCTAGGGCTAGAGCCGATTACGATTATCTTATCAAGCTTCTCTTGATCGGAGATAGCGGTACGTGATCTGACGCGTCAATGCTGAATCTATTATATTTTGCTTTATGCTTTTGATGTGTTGGTATCAGTCTCTAAATGCCTGAGTACTTATCCTCCATCGAACCGATCTAGATACTGCAATGGCGCTTACATCTTGATTTATGTTCAATGCTCGGAGGGTGATTTGGTGTCTAGTTGTAATCAATTTTGCGTGGCTGATTCTTCAAATTAATCAAAATGCTCAACCATCACGAGTCTCTGATTTTTCTTTCAATCAACGTTGAGATTGTTTCTATGATATATTCAGATTTCTGTTAACTTGTTGTACGAACGATCCCTCTTGCAGGTGTGGGTAAAAGTTGCCTTCTTTTGCGTTTCTCTGATGGCTCCTTCACCACTAGCTTCATTACCACCATTGGGTTTGAATTCCTTCAGCCATGTAGAAGCTAAACACCATGGTGTCTGTTCCTCTTTATACTAGAAATCTGAGAGTCTATTCGTTTCGTTTTTTGGTTCAGTATTGATTTTAAGATAAGAACTATTGAACTTGATGGCAAACGCATCAAGCTCCAGATTTGGGACACAGCTGGTCAAGAGCGCATGTACAATGCGGAGAAGAGGGGGAAGAGACAAGTCGTTTAGATTACATGGTATGACGTGATGGAGTGAAAATGATTACCAGAGACATCGGAGATAGAGACTGTTCTACAACTCTAGATGGTGATGAACAGCTCTAGACAAGTTTAAGAGTCACACTGGTAGATCATACTACTTAGTCTACTATCTATTTTGAATGGGCTGAACCGTACTTGTCAAATTTTCCAAAAAGCATCTGATCCTGATATACAGCTGATACCTGTGGGAGATATATGCATGTGGTGTTTATGGGCTGTTACATCAGTTTAAATTGAGGGTCTCCTTTGTCTCAACACTAGGTTGAAGAATTTCTCCTCAACTCCTCTTTTCTTTTACATTTTACACAGCTTATTACCGTGGGGCAATGGGCATTTTGCTGGTGTATGATGTCACAGACGAATCATCTTTCAACAGTAAATTTTCTTCCATCGCGTCTTTCACATATGAGTTTATATAGATGCTTCGCTGAAATGAT